GCGAGACGAGGCGAAGAAGTGGATTGGGGTTGAGTGAGGTTAGTAGCAGTGGAGTCATTGTTGGGATTGGTGGTCCGGGGGCGGTGGGTGCGGGAAAGGGGAAGGGCAAGAGTGGTGGGAGGAAGTGAGCGCAAGAACAAGACGAGGACCGGCAGTGGGTGAGCAGCCGCAAGGTGGAAGTGTATTAGTGGGAGAGTGTACGATACTGGATTGATATTTTCTGCCCCTTGGAGCGAAATGTGGCTATTGCAAGGAGCGCTGGCTGCGATACCGGTATTTGACAGTTCCTGATACGGGAACAGTGCGTGCTGATGATGATGGATGGATGGGTTACAGAAAAATGAACTTGCTAGATAGGATGAATAGATTTGCCTGATTCGCACTGGGGCCACTTTATGTTGTCATTGTTACTTCTTGCGTTATCTCGAGTGAGGAATTTGGAATATTGTCCCGAGTGCGAGATGGCATCCGGAGCGAGACTCATGCTACAGAGAATATTGAAGAGAAGGATATTCCTATTCGTCGAAGATGGATTGAACAACAACACTCCCTTCCATACAAAAGAACGATTGGAGTCTGCACTGGCTTTGTTTCTCATATCGAGCGCAACAGGGAAACAAAACATTGTTTCCCCCTGACCAAGTCGCCAACTTCCGACTCCGATAGAGCAATTCCCAGGTCCCAATCTACCGAGGCCTATAACCCCTGTACTGCCAAACCCCCGATTTTTTATGACATTTGCACATTCGCACATTGCACTTGGCTTTTGAGATTTTTTGCACAGAAGACTCTATTTTTAAGGACCTTTTATAACTTTAGTACCTTTAAGCTCCTAGAACCTAAACACCTTAATAGAATAGTAGTACTAGCCTATGTGAGTATTTTAATCTACTTTTATTAAGTATTATATTTAAATTAATAAAGATATGAGAAAGTTAAACTTGAAAAACGAGGTGCGAAGGGAAAACCCCAGAAACTGTGCCACAGACAAAAAGCGCATGACCTTACAAAGCAGCTTTGCCATGTTACTGACTTGTTACTGGCTAGCGCTTATCCTCCTTCGCCGTAACCACCCCAAGTAAGGCACGGGGAGAAAACGACTGGACCAATGGCAAGTGAGTTTTCGTATAACCCCTCCCCTTTCTTATGGGACGGAGCTGATGGATCTCATTCCTAGATTTATATATATATCAGCGGGAGATACTGGTCTTCAGCATCCAAACCTCCCGATTTATCCTGGTCGACAAGAACACATCTCGTAACAACAACATACTAACATGGCATCTAATACCTCAAAGAAAGTTGTTATTGTCGGCGGCTCCCTGGGCGGTCTCTTCACAGGCATCGTCTTCGCTCGCCTAGGCTACAACGTCACGATCCTAGAGCGCACTCCCGCCTCATCTCTCCAAGACCAAGGCGCCGGCATCGCATTCTACCTGATGATCCCTCCTATCCAAGAAGCGATGAAGAACCTGGGTACCTCAGGCGCTCCTATCGTGGATTTTCTGGAACAATATGACAGGACCAAAACTCCGACTCTTACCGCGGATGGAATTCAGTATCTGAATAGGGATGGGAGTATCAAGTTCACGACAGAGGGAGATGGAATGACAGCTCAAGTTGCGAGTTGAGATTTGTTGTATAATATTTTGAGGGCTAATTTCGACGGTGGGCATGAAGGGAGTTATGTTGCCACTCCTCCGAAGATGGAGGGTGATGGGATAGCGAACTATCTTTCTGGTGTGAGAGTTACTGACCTGACGGAAGTTGATGAATTGGTGGAAGTTGAATATGAGCGTGTGGATGGAAAGAAGGTGGCCTTGCACGCTGATATTGTCATTGGCGCTGATGGGCCAAGTTCTACAGTGAGGAAGCTTTTACTTCCTGAGGTCGAGAGAACTTATGTGGGGTACGTTACATGGAGAGGGACGGTCAAGGAGAGTTTTCTTTCAGATGAAGTTAGAAATTTGCTAGGCACCAAGGTTCGTTTTCGAGTCTTTAAGTGTGCAAAAACTTACACAGTGTAGTCTTGCATCGCATTTACCAAAGGATCCCAGGTCGTATGGTAAGTGATTCAAGCTTTTTAGCTACTCTAGACTTGCACCTTGTTGAAGATATGGATAGTTATAAGATCCCGGGCTTGAAAGGATCCCTTGTTCCCGGGGATTTATTCGCCAACCTCGTTTGGTACCAAAACCATGACCCGGCCGAACTCAAAAGGATACTCACCGACAGCGAGGGTGTCTCACATAAGTACTCGCTAAGAATTGGAAAGATAGATTCGAAAGTCAAGGAGAAGCAGGGAAAAGTAGCAGCAGCCATTCTTCCACCACAACTTGCAGAAGTCTGGCAGAAAATCGAATCTCCTTTCGTCCTAGCAGTTACTGACAGCTTGACTACAAAATCAGTCTTCATGAATGGGAAGGTGTTCTTGGTTGGAGACGCGGTGGCCACGTTGAGGCCTCACACTACCGCCGGAACCTCCCAGGCTGCAATGAATGCGTTGCTCATGAAGAAGGTATTTGATAAAGAAGGTGGAATGAGCATTGAGGAGTGGGAGAAAACTTCAGTCGGGTGGGCGACTTTTGCACAGAAATTGGGAGTGCAAATGGGGAATTTGAGTCAATTTGGGGACCATCCGATGGCGGATAATGGAGAGCTTTCCAGCAAGACATAGAACATCATTGAAGGTTTACTGTCAATGAATCAATGTTGTTTGCGAAACAGACCGCTTGAAGATACGGAGATCGCGGCATAAAGTAGCGTGGATTTAGGGCATTAGAAGACTGTTAAACCCTCTAGCGTACAGTCAAGGTAGCAACCTCGCTATAAGGCCCTATATATTTCCAGGCCCTTCCCCTAAAAGTAGCCTCTACGCCTTCGGCAAGGGCTACCATGCTTTTTTAAGGCTTCTCCACTATACTTACATAGCAGTCATCGCTAAGGAGGCCTATAATAGCCACCCGTTTAACGTCTAAGCGTTATAGTTGAGCACTATCGAGAAAGCATTGTTCCCATGGACCAAGTATTCATAAGTTTGTTAATGGACAGCTTTCTGCTGCCTGTAGAACAGTAGTAAGCTCTGGCAGTCTGCGTGCTGCGAATAGCAAAAATTCCCTTCGTCGTTCTTGGTAACCATCACGTAAGATTCTCCCCAAGGATTGAGAAGCTCAACGATCCTGTAGTACCAATTAGCTACAGCAGCAATCCAGCCACAACCGATATCGCATTCGAAGGTTACGATCCTCAACGAACCATTTGAGGCCCTTGGTAATTCTTTGAGCGCACCTGCCAATGCTTTCGCAGTGGTCGGCGTGTGCAGTGGTCGCCGGATACACCCCTGGTTCGTGTCACCTGCAAGGCAAGAGAATCCTTCCACAAGCATTGGAAATTGGGAATCTTCAACGGCACCAGAACAGAAATCGATGAACGCACACCATTGAGATAGAGCAGGTGTCAGACGTCCAGGGGGCGTGTACTCGTCAGCAAGTGCTTTGAGCCCCTGGCTTGCTAGGAATGAATCATGAGACCGAGAGGCAGGCACATATGGCGGTGCACGTTGCTCCATGTTCTGTTTCGCACAGGATTCTGACAATACGCTTGATGCAAAATCCGTACCAGAGGACGCGCCATACGACGAGAAGGCCTTCAATTTTGCGATCGCCTCTGCTACTTCGTACTAGTCGCTGGCCGTCCGGTGGCACGCTAAATCGTGAGAATATTGCTTGATCAACAGCGACGGTAATCGCTTCCACTCCAACCCTCGAAAATCTGGACAGAACTTCGACCGAAAAGCTCAGGCTCGATTGAGATCAAGAAACCCAGTCAACGGAGCCTTGCTGGGCAAAGTTGGGACCACCTCCAACTCGATAGCCAGTGAAGCTTCAGACATGATGGTGTATCGTCTATGCAGAGAATTGATCGCCCAGCTGCTGTTAGATGTGAGGGTGAAATGGATTTGAGGTGTTGGGCTTCGGTATTTAGCATTTTTCCCTGTGATGCGGAATCAAGTCACCACAGCTAATTAGCACCAACATAAGGCAGACAGACGAGGCGGAAAAAATGACAACAGAAAGTAGAAGCCGCAAAGGAAGACACATCGTTGACTCGCAAATCAATTGCATGCAGTATCACCAGATTATATTGCCTAAATTACACCTCTTTTTTACCAGATTGAAACAACACTCTACTGTCCCCACATCCTAAATAAAACGTGAGCATGGGGCATAATTGGAGGAGAGGGGGCATTTCGCGGATGTTTTGAGACGGGTAGACAGGTTTTGTTCTGGAAATTTGAGTTGAGGGTGGTTGAAGTGGTGGGCGTTTCTTTTATGCCTGTTAAATGTTTTACAGACGGTGTTGGAGCGCGGATTTAGCGACTTCGGATTTTGCGAGATCTATAGATTATCATAGACTCAAAAACAGGTCTCATTGCCCATATATACAATCTCTCATTTCCTCCCAGATCACCCATTCAATGAATCATACTCTTCCCAATCTCACTCTGCCATCCCTTCGCCCGTTCAAATCCATTTGAATGGGTCTGGAAATCCATCATAGCTTGGTAAACTTCTTCTTGCGAGTTGAGAACGAAAGGTCCGTACTGTACGACTTTTTGATCGAGTGGGAGTCCTGCGACGAGGACTATTTAAATAGTTAGCAATTGGTTTTGAAGTTGCTGTGATGCTGTAGAATTGGATATTTGACGAAAGGAAAGGGGAGAATTCAGGAAGGGTTAATAGATCGAAGCCAGGTGGTTGACAATCCTCACGAAGCAAAAGATCCTCCAAATAGATCGAATCAATCCATTCAGCATAGTCTGCCGAGTCATGTCATGCAGGCTATTTGCGGGTAATGACTTCACACACCGCTATCTCGGGTAGCATGGGAGAAGAGCCTGCTAAGTGGGCCGCTATTGGCTCGGCCCACACACACAAAATTGAATTTTCCTCTTCTCCTCATAGCCCAAAATAAGGCACACTTTCCACAATCAAGACAAAGCGTTTGTGGTTTAGTGGTAAAATCCATCGTTGCCAAATCAGGAGTTCTATCTCCTGAGCAGTATCGATGGGCCCCGGGTTCGATTCCCGGCGAACGCAGTAGAAATAGTAACAAAGAAACTTCTTTTTTGACAGTCTTTTTGGCATCCAGAAAGAAAGAAGAACTTTTGACCCCGCATCAAAGCTCAGAGTCTGAGAAGAGGAAGCATCGATTTATTCAAGCACTTCAAAATCGGAAGACCTTCTGGCGAATTTTTGGTCAAATCCTTCTCAGGAAGCGGATCACCTGGATTAATAGATCCGTCTCTAATATTGGAAGACAATTCTCCGCTCGGGTATTGCCTCAATATCACAAATTTTTGCCTTGTGCGCAAGCGAGAAGGGGGGAAATCACATGACTTACTGAAATGTCCATTCTCCTTTGCGTCCTCCGCAACCTCAGCATTTACCTCGTCCCCCTTTTGCTCGAATACTACATTGTGGTACTGGCCAATCGTTGTTTTGTCCTTGCCAACGCCGAATGCCGTGCTTCCGCTCAAAGTATAGGCAAAAGCATTCCAACCTTCGGGTAAATTCTGAACGATCTTTCCCCCAGGCTTGATCTCGATATCAAAGATCCAAACTGGTGTATACGCCAATTCCTTGACACTATCGACGCCGTGGCTTTGGCCCGAGATGATCTTGATATGCACTTTTTCATCATCGATCTCGATATTCGGTATTTCCTTCGCCCTCAAGTCGCGGTATCTGGGCTCGCATTTCTTAAGTTTCTCTGGCAGATCAACCCATAATTGCATGCCAATATTCGCGCTGCCGTCTAGATTTTGTCTCGGCATCTCAGCATGCATTATGCCCTTTCCTGCTGTCATGAATTGTAGATCTCCTGCCTCGATTGTGCCTGCATTGCCGGCAAAATCCTCGTGGTCGACTGCCCCGACTAGCAAGTAGGTGATTGTTTCCTGTCCCCTATGCGGATGATCTGGGAAGCCTGCTCCAGGCTTGATAGTAAAATGGTCGAGCATGAGGAAGGGCGAAAAGTTGCGTAGTTGTGGCGTGCCGATTGAGCGGCGGACTCGAGCGCCGGCGCCTTCGGATTGTTCGACCGCCAGGAAGGCTTTGCGGATTACTCGTGGGATCGTCATGTTTGCTCGTTTGGTTGATATGTAGAGTGCGCGAGGTAGTAAAAGAGGCAAGTCTTTGAAAGTTGTCGTGTTGGTGTTGTAGAAGCTGGTGGTGACTAACTCGATCTTAGTGATTATCGTGTCTTTGAACGCAATTGATAGGAATGCGACAATGATTGAAGAAAGCAGAAGGAGAACCCTCATTGAAAATGAATGGTATACTTATAAGAAAAAGAAAGGAAAGAGAAGGAATGTTCTTTGAGGATCATGGCGGACTTATGGAGGATCTCAGCCTTAGTGAAATGTGGGGTCTTGATTTCAAGCTGCTTATTCATGAGTTGTCAGCACAACGTCATTGGCCAGTGCTAGCGAGTGGCGATTGCGAGGCTGACAGTGCAGACTTCCGGAAATCTTCCAAATCTTTTCGATATCACTAGCAAACTTGCTAGATGATAAGTATATACCATAATCTGTTCCTTTCAAGTGCCTAGCCTAAGTCAGGGGACGCGAGGTCATTGCGATGCTCGAAATTGTCTCCTCCGAATTTGCGGATGAAGGAATTGGACTATTGAACTGAGATCGATTTATTGGTAGAAAATCGATATATTGAGAGTTGACAATCTGTAGAATGGCTAATTACAGGAGTGTACCACCACAAAAACTGAGAGAATGGCTTCCCTAGCTATATTCCTGATTCCCAGCCTCCTATGTGATTTACCTCGTATTGGTGGTGGAATCGATTACCAAAATAATGCACGTAAAGATCGCAGAGTAGGGAGTTGCATTTCTCATTAAAGTAGAGTTAATTAAAGCTAGCTAGAAAAGAACTCAAGTGAAGCGTGAGAAATTCAGGAATATGGTGCACAGATCCTGACTAAGCGAACCAATCGCACTAGACTAAATCCAGAGATCGCACTGCAATAGTACTGCAACACAAACTAATGCCTAGATGTAGGTTTAAGGAACGTAATCAAATAGCGATACTAATAAACGATTGGTGTGTCTGTACGTAAGCAATACCCAATAATCGGACGAAACTGACTAGTGGTTGAACCTGGAGCGGAAGGAATGGATGCTAGCCAAAGCTAGCTAGTTCAACGTGGACGCCCAGGACTCGGTTTGCAGTCCGACGATCGCCTTGACAGTGTCCCATACAGAGAGTGAGTTCGAAACGTCATTTCAAGGTGCTCAACCAACCGAGTGCGGTCATTCCCACTGGTTCCTCCACCGGTTGAGCCTCGATTTAACGACGCCGAGTTCTTTGATAGTTATTTCTTGTATTCTATCAGTACCTGTCGATTGCCCATAGGCTCCAGTTTGATCTGACAGCATACAGTATACTTAATATTATCTTTGCATACTAACTCCTTTCTTTCTGCGTGTTTGCACCCTGTGTCTGTATCCCTCCTCCCTATCAATTTTACTGAACGGCAATTAATATCTATCGTTTTCTCCTCCTCTGAAAACCTACTCATACGATAGTTAAGGAAGAGTCGCTATCATCCGCCCGCCGAAACTCGTGCAGTCGTGACTTCGCCGTGTGGAAGTATCCTACCCCTTAGTAAGTCCAATTGGTGATAATAACTGGTTTAACTAAGCCTCGCCAGGCTGGATTGACTCTGGACAAAAGACGACTTTTATTAACTGAGCAGGATTTCAAGGTTTCGGGTTCTAGAAGAGCTAGGTTGATATCTACTGCTAACATAGAGGTCTCGTCTGCCTCATGTGCATACATCTTGAATCTGAGCGTATCAAACATAAACCATTTTGCCCGCATGCGTATAAAACGACGCGGGAGGTGTCTTGCGACTTCAACGTCTACCGAAGCCCATGACGATGAAGGAGCACGGTATGGATCGGTCCGAACCGAATACATGCCTGGAGTTCGAATCCACCACAAGAGCTCAGATGGCAGGCTTAAAGTGGGTTTTGGGGTAATGACGCGAATGGTGGGCCTATCAAATATTTCTACCCAGTCCAGCGCATAAGAAATCCTGCTGAAGTGTGGTGTGTATTCTTCTGCAGCAATGTCGTTGCTAGCATTGCCCGATGCATTTACCCCCCCTATTACGCAGTATAGGGGAGGCCAATATAAGTTTAGGCTAGGCCGAAACCCAATACCAATGTAAGCTAACCAAACGCCATGGCCGCCGAATGCCAGGAGTTTATTCCGTGAAGGATAGTGTATGAAGGAAGCATCGGATTGAAACAGAATGTGAAGCGCGACGAAAGTGGAAGCTCATAAATCAGGAGGCGCCTCTGGATGACGCTCGTCTATGAGGTTCTGGGGGCGAGTTTTCAACCGGAACGCAAGTAGAATTGTCGCCACTCTCCACTCTAGCCCTCAATTGAAGAGATCGCAGATGAATCGAAGATATAACGCCCGTCTCCTTTTCCCTCTCAGGCTGATGTGAAGTCGGGTTAACGAAGTGGTTTTCTTCCATAAAGAACATGGCTAAACTCGGTCAGAATGCAACTGTCTCATCAGCGGTAGAACTCACATTGGCATGTACGCACGGATCTCCCTATTCATCAGATCATCCTTAACCTCCTGTAAGAATGCATCGACTTTGTCTGGCGGCCACTCCAAAGCCTTTATAAACAACGCTCTGCTAGCACCCAACGCCTCCTGCAGATCCGCGTTAAACCACATCCCCAGCTCCTTGGCCCTTCTTTCCCTAGGCCAAGGGTTAGTCGGAACCTCGAAGATCTTCTCCTTCACGTCCTCAAACCCAACATCTTCCATCCATCTCTTATAATTCGGGGTGTTATTCCAAGGCCGTCCCATTATAGTTCCTGCTTCGTGACAACTCTTCGCCCAGACATCCAACACAGTGCCCTCAAGGGAATTGTCGTGGCAACGCAAAGGGAAAACGCCATCCATCATCTCCAGATAGCCACCAGGCGCACATGTCTTGTACGCTTGTTCGATCACCCCCTTCGGATTCGGGAAGCAAGTCATAACGAATCGGATATGAATATAGTCAAACTTTTTCGAGTATACCCACTCGTCTCCCGCATCATCGATCTCGAATAGGCAGTTCGCAGGCACGAATTTAGGTTGGATAGGACTCAGATCGCTTCCAGTGACGCTGGTGGATGGGTATTGCTCCGCGAATTCAATGGCCCATATTCCCGTTCCCGTCGCAACATCCAGCGCATTCTCCACAGTATTGGGAATAGGAGCCAAATGCAACTTTCCATCTAAAACCTTCAGCGCCATATGATGTTGCAGATCCAATCGGTTCTGCTCCTCTGTGTCGTTCGGAAGTACGTATTTCCCTTGCTTATATTTGTGATATGTCCGCCCATGTTCCTCCACATAATCGTATACATTTGAGGCCATAGAGTGCGTAGAGCATAGGTTCGAAGCCATAGAGTGCGTGTCGGAGTCATCTTGTGTTGAGAAAGAGGAATCGACTTCAAGGGCAGAGTTGCTTATTCCGGGAGCGCTGGCGGGTTCGGTCATCAGGCCGTCCTCAGGAGCGTCTTCGACAATTGATGCTTCGGTCGCAGAGGGAGGAGGGTGACTATGGGAACCCATCTATCGTTCGCGGCGTGAGATTGATTCGACTTCGAGGAATGTCGGTAGATCTTTCATGATGAAGATTGCCGTTCGGGCAAGGCTGCTAATCCTGCCTGGTGGCGGTGAGGTTGTGTCTCGGGACCCCGCGTTCAGTTGTCCATGGGTAGAAGAACAAAGCGTCCCTCAATTGTCCTCTTCGTGAATCGTTCTGTGTCCCTCTTGTGCAAACTCCCTCACGACTCTTCGCAATTAAGCGTTTCAAATATTGTCTTTCCCATAAAAAAGAAACTGCAACTCTCTCGTCAGCTCAAGTGACACAGAACGCGGGGTCTTCCTAATTGGGCTTAGCTTTACCCCTATTCTCGCACAGAGATCCCCGATTCCATCAAGTACCACCGAACATCTTAATCATTCAATCACCGCATCTACTTTCTATGTACTCGTTTGCGTGG